ATACCGTTTTTGACCTTATCTTTGGTGTTAAATCTCGAGTATAAACGTCTTCAAATATCTTGTATTGGGCTCCAAGGATCATGTGGTAGAAAACCGATTCCACAAAATAGTTAGTACGAAACATAGCATAATTAGGTCGCCTCGTACTCTTCTACAGCTTGGAGAAAGCTGTCCTAGATATTGGAATCGGTCTTTATTAGGTTTAAACCTTGATATTGACCAATTTTGTGGCTCAGATCTGTACTAACTCCTTTCCGGTTTTTTGAAAGGTGCTATTATGTCCTTATGGCCTGTTATCACGAGATAAGATCGCCAATTGGAGTCACCAACTTATTGACCGAACCAATGACGTATAAACCAGTACGAGAAGCCTACAGTTCGTATCGGTCCTTGAGATAGCAACTTCTCGTCCAATCCATCCGATTTAGTCCCTAACACAAATATCAGCCTCCCTTATATCCAATCATATATTTCAAACACACTTGGTTTATATATATGCAAAATCGGACCACATCATACCATAAAATAGAAAAGAAGATTTGTAGAAGATCAATCCCAAAAGTGGATGTGATTGTGAGAGACTAAGACTAATAAATTAGGAGTAGTTAAACATAGAACATTGGCCAATAGGTCAAATAAAAGCTTATAATAACAGGAATATAAACATATATATAGTTTAGTTTCTTAACAGTTATACAATAAGAATATATATAGTAGCAATCCATAAATAAATCCTAGCACTTACCATTCACTTATTCCTCGTTCGGATATAACGGTTGCCATAATGTTATTATGTTCTGGGTATGATCGAATGTATGATTTAACACACTAATACTTGATTTGGGTTTAGTGACTCATCACTGGCTCCATAGAAATGAGCTCAGTAAAAGCTTTTGATATTAACCCAAGTATCCTGCGAATGTTAAATTTCTTATCGTAAGTCATTGAGACTAGCGAAGTAGAATGTTCAGACTGATAATCGCATTAAAAAGGATGTAGGTGGAAATCTATGTTATCACTTGTAGGCTATATGGACTAATTACCACGTCGTCTAGTCTGAGTATTATTCGCGAGGAACCCAAGTAAATCAAGTCTTCCTAGCATTATTGAACTCAATGTTCACAAATTTTTTGAGTTTCATGTGTTACTGTGGATATTGTATCTCATTATCAGGTTGATTGTGAACATTTGTACACTTAATAACATTACAAAGTTGTAATTAAGCAATAAAGCATTGATAAGCGTGTACTACATTCCCTATACGAAAAGATGTAACTGGAGTTACACTCAATGTCTTCAGCGTCTGTTAAGTGTGCTATACCCATCACTTTGGAGCACACCACCATCCGTTTATCCAGTGAGTGCTGCACATTAAAGCGTAACGTGTATTGATGATTTGATTTCAAGCGTTAACATAGAAACTCCGAAGTTTTAGGTGAGGATACAACAATTGTCTTCAGACTTGATTCTTGTGATGTAGGAAATTGAGCAGTAACTTCCATTACGTCGACGATTATAAACTACATAGAAGTCTTTATGTAATGGTTACGATATGTGATGTAATGTCGCATATAGCTTTCAAATGCAAATACCATGACCTTCAGTGATTATATCTAAATTTGCTAAAAAACAGATTTGAAGACTCTACAGATACTCAAAGTTTGACGACGCTTTTGTCAGTAGCAAATTAATAATCAGAAGACCCCAACCAAGTCAAATCAGCAATTAGGAATGAACAGTTTAAAATATATATTTGGAAGGTAGTTGATATGCTGAGAAGCGTTTGATGTTGGCTAGTTGTTATGAGGAGTATGTACTTAATGATGATCTGGTGCGGATGTGCGACTGAACGCCTTCAGATAGGGTGTATCCAGTGAAACTAAGGAGGTAAGGATCAACGTTAAGACCTACAGAACTATTTATTTTGCAGACTTATTTGCCATTACAGATTCTTTTTCACAACAACTGGAAATAAGATTTAGATAGCAATCATCTGAAAGTTAGTTTATCCTCCATATCCTCTCATTCTATACAACCCTTAGACTTTCTGTCTAATAGCATACAAATTAATAATAGTTCTCTCCCAAAACCTGTGATTTAACATGCTTAGTTTCCTGCTTTCATTACCCTCATATTATTTTTGACGGTTGTGTTACTTTGTTTGGCTAAACTATTCAAATAATGACTGGAGTTTAAGACCATCGTTACTGAGTGAAAATTTATCAAATAAAGTAGATTGACACTGACTAGATCCCATAGTTTCAGCTTCTGTTCACGACTGTTAACGGGATTAAAATTTCTGGTATTTGTCTGCATGTTCTGACTTATTAAATAAACTGTCCAGCAATGTAACCAAACAAATTGTTTGTATCAAAGTTTCCCTGCGGGATGACACCAACCAAATAGGCAAGTACTACTCTACAGTCATGACCTATGAAAGTTGAAAGTATATAAGTATCTTTTTCCTCTGCACCTATTTTCTAGTTTGAAAGTTCCCAGGATAGCAGTCAGGTAAATCGATTTATTAAAATGTCAATAATTCTTTAATATTGGTTAATTAAAAGAAGTGCTATAGAGAGATGAAAGTAAACGATTGGAAGACACAGTGTATTATAAGCATATATCAACCCAAAACGTTTGCTGATGTTTAAAATCCAACAGTACTAAAACATTTCAAAGCATTAATAGTACATAACCTACTGTGCGAACCAGTAATTCCATGAACAAATCATTATATATGCAAATAGTCACGACTAGAGCAGAACTGAAAACAGCTAACTTATTTATATGTATTATATTTTAAAATCAGAATAGCTCAGTTGTGTGTTACAAGACAATCATTGTTTTCAAAAAATCTCCACAAGTGCTTGTCAAAAAAGATGTTTTTCGGCAACATGAATGATAAATACAATTTTAAACAAAAAGACTATTTATTCACAGATTAAGTTATCAATTATCTTTACAAAGTGTGATACTATCTGAGATGGTGGAGAAGATATGTAGCTCAGGTGGATGATTTTGGTGGAGTTTTGTTCTCTGAGCTGGATGGTTTGGTCGTGGAGCTTTCATCGTTCTTCTGAACGACATCATCAGCACAAACTTCAGATAGAAGTCTGTAAGATTTTTATATTATTAGGTACAACCTTATGAGGAGCTTTGAATGTACACTGTCAAAAAATCTCAAACTAGAACAAAATGTTCATCCAACACTACTCCATAATATTCATTATATCATAGCAACTCACGTGCAATTGAGTTTGTACTCATTTTATTCAGTCAAGCGCTTTTGTCAACTTACTTAGTGGACAGAGCCATCTGTACTATATCAACTTATTGTACCTTTATTATTGTTGTGCTTGTATGAAATATGTATACTTGAACACTGCTTACCGCGTACGCATATATTTATTCTGTTAGCTTTAATATTAGCTGCTTAATTGAGTCGATGATCCATTCATTTCCTTACATATATACGTGTATATTTACACTCTACACACTCTCGGTTCGCTGACTCACTCATTCGCATCACTGCTTTGTGGTCTGAGTTATCTGCTAATAAAACTGTAGTCGATGCTTCTCTTTACCTTCTGATTTCAAACACCGTTGAGGATTATATGATAACGGTTATAAGGGTGATTGATCAACGAAGCACAGCCATTACAATATAATCTCATTTCTGTATCATAAATGATCGTCTAATTTAAGTTTCAAATCATTTGTTATACAATCTTTTATCTCAGATTTAGTTTTGATTCATAATATCGTGTTGTCTTATATATATATCTTTTAGTAAATTACTTACATACTTACGCCTGTTACTCCTAATGGTATAGGAGTAGGTTGGAAGAAAGCTAGGGGCGGCCAGACCAAAACATGGCACAAGTCCATGAAGTCACTGACAAGTGGACTGAGTCATGTTGGTAGGTGTAGACTACCTGGTTGGGGGCCGCGAGATGATAGCAACCAATGGTTAGAGACCTTGAATGGCATGGTTCAAAATCGTTTGCAATGGCGCAGGTGCATACACTCTTTGTATTCTCTCAAATTTTGATCTCCTTATTCCTCCTTGTCTTTTTTTTCTCTTCCCAAATTTATTTCACTGTATTATACTCTTTAAATAACATCTCCAAACACTAATTTTCTCGATTACTGCTTATACTCTTATTACCTCTACCACTACGGGATTTGAATCGGCGACTACATCTATGTGTTAATGTGGTGTGGCAACTCGAACTGATGTACGTACGTACGAAGTTCTACGTTGTTACTGACTGACTGAGTGACTCCTAATGGAGCATAGGCCGCTGACCAGCATTCTCCAACCCACTCTGTCCTGGGCCTTCTTTTCTAATTCCATCCAATTCTTTTAGTTACTACACATGGAATCTTAGAGTAAAATCAAAGAAACAATATTAACAGAATAGAATCTTCTCAATTTGTATATTAGATGAAATACTAAACATAATTATTTTTTTAACGATATATGACACAATAGTTTTCTGATTTATTTCATATAAAGTTATTTAGCCTATAGCTACATAAATTTGAAGTAAAGGAATTCCCAAAACAATTACTATTAATAACAATAACAATATTAATATAATAATAATAATAATAATAATAATAATAATAATAATAATAGCTAATTTAATTACTTGTCAGATATATAAAATTGATGCAACACAATTCACTACTTATTTACTTAGAATAGTGTATCATTCGTTATTATTATTATTATTATTATTATTATTATTATTATTATTATTATTATTAAAATTCACTCATTTGTATACTTGTTCTACTCAAGAAGGTATATATAGGATTGTATCACTAGGTAATGTCGCTTGCCTATTAACCTATCTCAACCAATCAAAATATTTTGATAAAAGAGTATATATATACAATTTTGTTTTAAATGAAGCAGTATTTATCAATTATACTATAAAATACATTTAATAATATTAAACTATTTTATTTTATTATTGTTATCATTTATCATAATGAATAGTAATCCGTCTATACAATCTAATACAATGAAACATTCATTATGTAATAATTTCTATTCATCATTTATAACAAATACATCAGATTTAACAACAACAACAATGATGATGATGTTAAATCGAAAAAATGGAACAAATTCAGCAACAACAACAATAACGACACCACTAACAACGACAACAGAAATGACAACGACAATAACAAACCAAAAAGACAACTTATCAATGATAATAGAACATAAACCAATATTTAATCATTATCAAACTACTACTAATATTTTATCGATTAATAATAATAATAATAATATAAGGGAAAATCAATTGAATCTTTATAAAAAACAATATTCTCGTGAATATCAACGTTATAAACGTGCATCATTACAATATCGTTATGCGCATGCAGCACGTGAACGTCAACGTGTAGCGGAATTTAATAAAATTTTTAAAAAATTATATAATTTATTACCAATTCATAATTATGTATCATCTAATCGACGTTTATCAAAATTGCAAATACTTAAATTATGCTCTTCATATATTTATTATTTAACTTGTTTACTTCAAAATAATAATAATGATAATTGTCATTATTCTACATTCAATGTTCAATATTGAAATAAATGATTTGTATTGGATACATTATTGAGTATAATATGAATATTTAATTTTGGTTATTTTTTTGTTTTGTTTTTTGAAATACTTAATTTAATAAAGTAGTTACTATTTCAGAAGAGGTTGTTTTTTCTTGTTGTTGTTGTTGTTGTTGGATATTATAGTAATTTTAATAAGTTCAATGGTTAAGATCATGAGTCAGTTGAAGCTAGACCACCATGGAAAACCTGGAAGCACTGGAAGGCCGTTTCGTACTATTGTGGGACTCCACAGCAGTACTCATCGATGACCTCGCCTCCTGCGAGATCTGCGTTTTACTAAGATGGATACTTGGATCGCAAAGGTACCATTACCCTGGTAAACGATAACATCAGCGACTACTTTACACATGAAGGGCTTTGTAGTTATTTCACACCTCACCACCTGGTTGGTATAACTTATTATTATTATTATGACAAACTAGTTTTAAAAATATTTCTTCGCTCTTTTCGTCTTTTTATCGAAAAACACTAAATAAGTTAAGCATGGTGATTGTGGCTTGTGATCGGTTGTTTTTATTTGCCCTTATGTTCTTGTTGACTATCTTCATTGATTGACGTCTAACAATTTAACCGAACGACCGTTTATGGATGGGTTGATAGACTGGATATACAAAAGTCAGTCCATATATCATTTAACAATCTCCATTTCACGATTCTTGAAATTCTATGTCATTTTTAAAAAATAATTCTAACTAGAATGTTTCCATTTTCTTAATCGAATCCATGTCCGCGGTTACTTACGTGTATGAATATGAGTACTAATCAATCATGTTCCCACAATGAGAAACAATGTCCGTGCAAAAACTTTCCAAACAACCAGTGGAATATAGTGTTGAGTGTACCACTGATGTCGACAGATATAAATAATATGCATCACTAGTCGGAAGTGAAATCCCTGGTGGCAGAAGGTTAAGAAGATCGGAGACAAGAGAATGAGAACAGAGAGTAATTGTTGTGGAAACGAAGAAACAATCAAGTATTTACTATATGGTTCTCAGAGTTTACTAAAACGTTCTGTAATTTGTGTGTTCACATATATATTCGATTGTCTCTACTTGTGTTCTCGTTCACTACGATACGACTAATAATAATCTAGAATAAGGAAAAAAATTGCAAGTGACTCAGATATTATTAATTATGTTGTTCATTGTCTTTTCAGGACAGTAATTCAAAAACCGCCTTCTTGTGTGCTGTCAATAAAGTGATTTACATTAATTAACACGTCAGGTGATATTATTAAATGTCGTATATCTTTCATGTATCTCAAACACATAAGATAACGACCCAAAATTTTCAGTTGAAGAATTGATAATAGTTTATGCATAAATTAATTTCACGCTTGAATGATGTGAGGACGGTCCACATGTGAATTCAAGGATGCTCCAAGAAGTTCAGAAAGAGCCGGAGATATTTCATCCAATTATCTTCCGGAAGAATATTCCAGGATCTCTACGTGTATCTTCCCTATTGGATAAATGCTAAAAAACCCTGTATAAGGAATGAATAATTATAATTATCATTTCGTTTTTACTAAAAACTATCAATACCTGACGGTTTTGTACCATATTTGGCACTATTTGGAATAGCATTCCTTCCACCTGTATTCCGTCTCCTCATTTGAAACATGGAGGGTTCTAGCGTTCGAGTGCTCAAGTTGCACACAGTATATCAGGAACCCAAGCTCTCGATTTAAAACGAAGTAAATCTTTTAGTGTGTTATGCTATTGGTCATTTCGGTTCGAATCCCGGTAACGGTGATTTGGAGATGTTTCTTATGCAAGATGGATCCTAAGGGAATAAATAAACCAGATGATTTATACACAACGATACTTAGACTATGGTAGCATTGAAATATGATACAAATTGATGGAGAAATCAGGACAGCTTGAATGTTTCCTAGTATATATAGTATTGTACGAGACAATGCAATCAATCTAAACAAAAGTAGATCACATAGAATAGCTACCCTGCGAATTTCATAGTGATATTGAAGTATAGGAATTTCGCGAAAAAAGTTATTAGAATCAACTCCATAAAACATAGTGATATTGTATTGATGATGAGAAGAGAAAGGTTACATAAGGGACTTAAGGTGCATTCTAGAAGTACGAAAGGGCTGTTTCCTTCTAGTTTGTAACTTCATTGAAATAGACACTGAAATTTTTTTAACGTGCTCCAGTTATTATTGATTTTCGATTTCATAAGCCATCGTTTTAAATCAACAGATATTTTAATAGCCAATAACTCACATTTTAGCTTTATAATGACAAAACTAAGCAAAATACCAAAGTCGTTATTGCTCTCAATAATCAAACACTACGTTATTCACACTGCACACAAAAGTAAATGTCCTTTAGTTCAATCTCATCTTCATTAGCAAATTTTATTTTGAATGGATCTAATTTTGTAAAGATGATTTAAAGAAGAAGTAAATAAAGTTAAAACTCAGAACCTATTTCGCAAATGGAATACGAACTTCATAGTATTATGTGAAGTCAATCCATAAGAATATTAATTTGGATTTGTTATCGATTACATAATTTACCTCCTGACAATATTCAAGTAGTATAATAATCAATAAGTAAAATCGGGAGTTAAGAAGGCAAAAATTTTAACACTGGCAAACAACTAAGAATAAAGCTGTTAAATATGAAAGGGAAACAGTATTTCAAGTGATTTCGCAATTCTACATATTAATGCACACCCCAACACACTTCCATATTTCTCACTGATTCAAATCACTTCAAATAGGTACTTTCACCAGATAAATGTGACTTATTCATTTCTCTTCAGCGAGATTCCTATATCATCAGTAACCTATATGATTATGTGGCAATCTCCAATGAAATTTCTAAACCTGAAATCAAAACAATGAACAGATGCATAACTGAACGAGATTCGAGAAACAATCTCCCATATTTCCATATTCCCTAACTATTACAATCCGTCTCACGAAATCCATTTGATTATCAGTGACTGGCAACATGTCTCATAGTTACAAGATCAAAACACACATGATTATTCTATTTGAATATGGATAAGCACTGTATTCATCAGTTGTTCTGATGATCGTATTCAGGTTCGTATTGAATAGTTGTTGTATCACGTGATGATGAATACTTGAAGAACACACATTAAGTGTTCAGTCAACGTGAAATGAGAGATGAAAGCGTAATTTGGTGATAATCAAACATGATAGATAACTTCAATTAATATACACAAATATGTTATGATATAGAAATATCTTGACAGTTTACTAACTCAGCATAAAATATCTGTGAATATTTCTCGTCTACAACGCAGTATTGATGAATCCGATTTATTTAGTATTATCATTAGTCTATTGTTAAAATAAGCCACAAAGTGAAAAAACAAACAATCAGTCAAGGTCACATACTTCAAGTGAAATATTCATATCATTGATCAATATAATTGTACTAAATCAATGAAAATTCAGCATTTGTAAAATGACTAAATTGTGAGAGACATAGAAATCTGATTGAACTGCTACGATTCACAATTGACAACTCGTTGGAAAATATCATCATGTGGAGTTCATTTAAATATCCGGAAGTAGAACAATCTTGTGAACAATAATTGTGGAGATCATTAATTACTCACTTGTAATAACATTAGTGAAGATGCATTTTACCTATATGTTGTGGTTTGAACAAAGAATACAACAAAGCAAATCTGAATGTAATATAATGTGAAAACAAATCGAGTGATATAAGTGAATCAGTTCAACGACGAACTCTTATCGAGTAGTTGAGATGCATAACAGAGAATATTTGATTCAATGCATGATCGAGAGCACCCAGTCAGTATTAAGAGCTAGGAAGTTGAATGATATATATTCCTACTCACTGAATGATTTGAATATATATAAATAGCCAATTGTTGACTGAATAACGTAGTTATGACATTTCCGATGTTGATGTCATGTGACCGGGATTGGAAGCTGTAAGTAAATGCGACACTAAAACATTTAACGGGTAAGCGATCCACATGAACGACAGAAAACGCGAATGTCTTTAATCATCAAATCAAATACATGATAACGTTTTGTTGAGCTGTTTGTTTTGCTGATCAAGCTACACCTAAATTGACAAGATTCATTCGTAACTGTGAAATTACTAGTCCTGATATCGATCACTCATCAATACCGAATTGCTATGCAACAAACTATTCTATCATCACTGTTTATTTGCGTGATAGTATTCAAAAAGCGGAAAAAATACAAACAACAACCATTCTTCTTGTATCCTCTTCAGTGACTAGATTCCAAAATTCACCAAACAAAGTCATCGCACGCAAATACCAGTGCTATTCATTCAGTTATGAAACCAATCCATGTCATCACAAACATGTTTGTCTACATCAAACAACCCCTAGTCATTCGACGTAACCACTTTCTCGCCAAATAGCATGAAATCTAGACCAAGTGAAGCATCCTATCGACTATCATCAACTACCGAATTACATCTCAACACAATGCATGATATATCAATTCACACAGGCTAGTATCCACAACACAATTCAATCGATAGAATTCGATCACAAATATGAAGGATATGAAAGACATACAAAACATTGGTCACTACCCAGTGATCAATCAAATTTTAACAGATAAAGCATTGTTTTAAAATGTGGTCATCAATCAGCATCGAGTAATGCAACATCATGTGAGTGCTTTCCAGCACAAAAAGCATTCAAATGAGAAGTACAGATCCTGTTGCAAGATCTCTTCTCACAGGAAAGGAATGAAAAACGAAGAGTAATGAAAGTGCACAACGAATGCTGCACTCTCAGTCAGACCTAACCGATACAGTAAATAATTAAACGATCAGTATCATAGTAAATAGTTAATAGGAAATCTCTTCATCGTATAGTCATAAAATAATGTGATATTACAATCTGTGACTATTCGCGACTAATTTTGAAAGTCTCATCTTCACAGGGTAGATCAACAACCGAATTGAATGGGGACAATTTTGAATGAGAGATTTGCTCTTACACTGTCACTTCCGATTGATAAACACCACCGCCATACATTCTACACGAGACCAATAACCAATGTTTGCTAAACATATTGATCACGAAAATAACTGGGCGACAAGCTTCACAAATGACTAAAACACACAATAACCACAATTCAACAACAATAATAACAACAACAACAACAAAAACAGTATCATAAAAGTAAATTACCTTGAATTCTCATCATCACACTCTGATTGGTTGATCTGTACTAGGTCACAGTTTGAATGTGGCTGTATTGACAGAATCTGTCTGAGATGGATGATACATATAAGTTCATTGATTGGTCGTCCACTATGTCCAATGTAATTGTGTATAACAGAAGAATAAAATAGGTCAAGTTGTTTTCTGTCAACAAATCATCGGACGTGTGTGGATATACTTGATCGTTCTCTCCTTCACTAAACTAATTCTGTTCATGTACGTTGTCTACATTTTCCTCTCTATGTTTATTATTGTCATGGTAATTTCGATTCCATATGTAAGTGATTTTATAGTACAAGTGTTGAGGTCTCAAAGTGAGATATCGGTTCAATTGGAATGCATCAATAACGGATATTTGTAATTGTAATAGATTGCTTATTTCATTCAGCACATAACTACACAGTGTATTTGTGTGTTTGTGGAATTTATTCTACACGTGATGAGACTGGGAAATTCATGTTGACTTGGTTAGAATTATGCCAGTTGATTCTCATTCCTCAATGTTTTGTTTATGATGACTAGCTTACTGCAGGAACGGGATCGTTGTGTGAATCTGTTCGTTCACTTACGCCAATGGATTTACGAGGCGTTTCAGACCCACTTGTGTCACCATTAGTTCTGGGTAGATTAGTATCTCTGATAATGTGAATATATATGATCGATTTGTTCGTGATTGTTTGCCTTCAGACAGTGTATTTTCTCCACGAATCTCAAGATGAATCTATTTACAAAACTCAAGTCCAATTGATTTGCCTATACAATTAGAGAATTTTGGATAGACAGATTGGTTATCTTTCAATCTTCCAGCTTCTAATCGGAACGTATGTATCACCTCTCACTGGTTAACAAGTTTAACCAATAACGCGCCTTATGCAGTTATAAGCGTATTACAGCTGTAGTGTAACTCATAAACCGTTGCAAAAATCCTCTTGCACTTTATTCATTTATTATTTATTTGAACACATAAATATTTGTGCAAAGGAGCACCGATTACATATGCGCCACACAAGTCACTTGATTTATGTGTGGGCTGTGATGTTGCCCGGATGCCCGAACCAAAGCAGGTGGTTTTCTTATGGGGCTAACCCGCAGCCTTCAACATAAAAATATGACCCACAAGACAGTGGAGCAACATTAGGAGATGCAGTCCCATGGTAGCTGGCAACCAACGACTAGTTCATGCGTCATTTGTTCCTTCAGGATCCTGGAACCGGTGTGAACCATTGATTTGAAGTCAGGGTTTTCCAACTCCTCTAGGTGGACTCTCTGTTTCCACCAAGCCGGTTAAAGCTCTGGAACTCGCTTTTCGTCTACTCGATTTCGTAAACACTTTATTTCAACAAAGTTAACTTGTTCATATTTGGTTGTGTAGATTGTTAATTTCCATTGAAATCACGAACTGATCAAAGTTAGACAATCACTGAAAATCTGGAAGCAACCGACAGCCTGAATAAAGACCTAAGTGTGGTTTATATTTAACCCCATTTGATCAGTCTTAAAAGTGACCATGATTCAGCTAACACTGATGCTTAGTACGAAAATAGATTGTTGGGTTATCAATGGGAAATTATTAGTTTTAATTTCGATGATGCGGATAATCATTTAAGTCTTTTTGCAGACAATAAAGTTGTTTGGTCAACACAAAAATAAGCCATCATTGTTCGTAAATGTAAAGTGAGACTAGGTCTGAATGAGAAACGTGTAAATTAGTTCTACTGGATTTGAAGAAATGAATGAATCCTTATTTTCTATTTTATGGTATGATGTGATCTGGTTTGCTTGCATAAACCACGTCTGAAATATATGATGCATATAGTGGGAGCTGATATAGGTGTTCTGAACCGAACAGACAGGGCATAGGCAAGAAGGCCCAATAAGGACTCTAGGCTTCTCGTACCGATCGATACGTCATTGGTTTGGTACAGTGCGAAGATTGTATAAGTTGTGTTCTGATTGGCGATCTTATCACGTGTTAATTAACAGACCATAAGACAAAGCAGAATTGGGTTATTTTTAACCATCAAAACATCTAAAAAGTAAAACAACTTAATGTGTATTTGTAATATAGTTTATTGTTATGTATGTTATCTTTAACTCGATGGCGTAGAATGATTGAATTAAATGAGACCTCGAATACAAACTTCTCTGAGTATAGATTTAAGCGATTTAGTAAATTGGCATGTATAGTAGTAATCAACAAATTAGAATAGGATTGAAGGAATGTAGCTCAAATGAAGTAATAACAGTTTTGGATTAATACCAGAATAAGGGTATCTATTCATATGACAGTGCAGACTATTCGAATTACACTAATCATATGTTTGATATGATACTCATATTTTCATTCATAATTAGGAAAGTTATCAGATGTTAATATATAAGTGTTTGTATTAAGAACAGAACAGTGGGGATAAATCATTTTGCAAATATTCATAGAGTTTCTGTAAGATCTTTTCATCTTTACTTACATTTAGCTGACTATTAAATAGGACGAAACGGCCATCCAGTGCTTCCAGGTTTTCCATGGTGGTCTAGCTTCGATTGAATCGTGATCTCAATCATTGAAATGACTATTAAATGCTATGATGAGATATCAAGATCACTGGAAAGACAATTGGCCTACCGTATAAAAATACAACAATTACAATATTATGGTTTATTCTTAACAAATCGTCACTTTTAGTCTGGAATAGCCTGTACTGTCAGATAATTCGTATTCACTTACACAGATTTGGGTCAACTGCATAACATGAGTAGGTTATGAATATCAGATAAAATTGATATTTAACAGTAAAGGAAAAGATACATTGTCTAAACCTCACTATTGTAGAACCATACTAATTGTAAAGCAAGCAAACTAGATTTTCAAGTACACTGTTCGAAATAGATGTATGAGATAACATGACTGGACTAATAAAAATGATGAATTGCTGCTGAATCCGATGAATTACAGTGCTTATTCAAAGTAGACTCTTCACTGATCGTTTAAATAACTATATTTTCTGATTGACCGTTTAGGTGAAGGGACAGACAGTGAACAATTCAAGTATCAAACCCTTGAAAATGTTATACTATCTTTGATCCTTGCCTTTATCAATCCTCTCCCCCATTGATGTGCACTCTTTTTAGAATGAACCCAGAATTAAACCTAATTGTAATTGAATTGGATTTACATCGACACTTACACTAGAATCACCAGCGATTGTATTAGAATGGAAATAATACCGGCAACAGAATGTCCACCAGTTATATTATAGTGAAATAATTTCAGGATTGCATTAGACTGGTTTAATTTGAGTTGTATTGAAATTAATTGAAACTGTCCAAAGTGTGGATTACTCAATGTGCCTTAAATATTTGTAGATCAGTGTAATACTGAAATATGATTAAGAGACTGATGGATAACCAAACAGATGGATACGCAACAGAATACAGAGATATTATACAGAGTCACATATTAGGCATTCGAATCAATCACACAACTTAGCACAAATTAACCAACAGGATTGTAGTAATGAATTTGATAATCATACGCACTGCCAAATACTATATTTCAAAATGTGTATCCAGTTCTGTGAATTTAACATGTTATTATTAAGCATCATAATTATTTAGTCGGTTTTAGAATGAATATTGTACATAATGCCAAAGAAGCTAATCTGTCTTGGTTACCTTCTACCAGTGGATCACCTCCACCGCCAAATGCACTCCAAGCAGATTCTGGCATTTGTGTGATTCGTGGCAAAAAAGGTGAACATTTAATACCAGGTAAAATGCTTCTCAGAACTGGTACAGCTTCTATACTTTACGAAGGAAAAGAAATTCCACTTTCTGAATTTGAAATTTTGTGTACCACGAACGTACTTTCAAATCAAACTTTGTAAGTAAGATGAAAAGCCTAAGTTTATTATGTTTTCCATAAATAATCATATGATGTGTTTGCCAATTAAATATGGATAATTTGTCAACCAAAACATGCGAATAATGAGTTTCAAACACTTGGCCAAGTAGACAAAGACCAAGTAGTAAGTGAAAGATGCTGATTAGTTCAGGCTCTTAATGAGAATCCAGCTAAACCTTCCGAGGACATAAACACACTATCGGTTAAAATTAGTGTCTGGTTTTATAGGTGAATTGCTCATATATGCTTGAATCTGTTTAACCGATAAAACTTCCTGATGACTCACTCAAGAAGCTGGCTGGACTCGCATATAAGAAGCTTGCACATCAGTTTCAGACTCAAACGACCACAAAAGATAAAAGAATCTAAATTACCTTCTTGTCAAAACTTGTGAATTATGAGTGAATTTATGACACGCGAAGCTTCAATCCACTATCATTATTCTGATCTATACAACTCTGACGATGCTGAAGACATCGTTGAGTTAATCAGGATCAATAAAAAGTGATCTAAATATACTGGACATACTGTAAGATTAAGTGTTCTCTTAATTTATTCTTTTATATTGATAAGTCTATTACGAAAACTTATGCACTTATGCATTTCTACTTCTATAAAATATGAGGATTGATTTAATGGAATTCTAGCAACTTTCGGAGTTTATAGCAATCATAAGTTGACATGAGTCACACTTAATGTAACTTGGTTTTCTAGACTGTTTTGATATTAACTATGTGATGATAAAGTTAATAAGGTTTAGGCTTGTCATAGATTTAGATCATAGTTTATTGGCTATGATTTCAGGTATGATTGGTGAGATGCATGTTTTTTACAAATTCATTTGAAGTCTATGTATAATACACTGTTGTACTTTCTCCGTCATACATACTTGACAAGTTGTGTGTAGCTTTATGGAAAATTTATGATAACCATGTAATTGAATTGAATGATTGTACATATGTTTAGCCAATAGTAATGATAGTAACCCCAATATTGTCAGATATATATATATATATATATATATATATATATATATATATATATATATATATATATATATATATATATATTCATGGATGATTCAAAAAAGGTATTCTGTATGGTCATTCGAATTTCAACCGAAAGTGTATGTAAATACATGAATTATATGAATGAACAAATATAATTAAGTGAAATCTTAATGCATTATCCAATGACCAACAGACAGAACTAAATATTTTATTGATAATTTTTCAAACTTTCATGGTGACCAACTGATAGAGAACTTCGTTTATGATGTATTGAATACTGGGTCTCAAATCAGAAGATGGATGCC